TTATTATTTTTTTGTGTATCACATCACTCTGATCGTGAATTATTGAAGAAACCCAAATTTAATATAATAAATAATATATATTTTTTATTTTACCTTTGGCTATAAAATAAGCATATTTAGTATTAATAACAAAATATTAGTAAAGCGATACTAATATTATAAAGAGAAAATATTTTTTTCAAGTGAACACTTTCTATAGGCAGGTTTGGATGAGGAGTAAATTCATGTAAGTCGTCATCGACATGGTCACGTGACGTGTTAACGCTAACACTCAGAGTGCCGATAGATGTCGAAACCAGATAAATAAATGTAAACAGTTTTAATTTACAAATTTTAATTTTAAGATCAAACAATTCATTGGAATATCCAAAAGTAACAACTGTTGGTTTATAGTTTTAAGTTTTCACTTCTGTCGGCAGTCTTTATGACTGCTTTTTTGTTTGTTTGTTTGTAGTTAATAGTAGTAAAAAATACTTACTGGAGTCTAGAAAATAAAAACATAATTTATACAAGATATTGTAATGTAGATATTAATAATAATATTAGGAACTTTATGTTACACTTACGGCATCAGGCTATAAAAAAGAAAAGAGTATAATTATAGATATATAAATTAATATAATCTGTGGTGTTTTTTTTCCTTTAATCTTAGAGTTTATAGCTATACTCTTTGAATCTTAGTCTCTACCGTTACCAACTGTTGGTATGTTTTCGAAACGTCAGATGATCCTGACGTACAAAAAAATATTTGAAAAATAAAACTTTTATTTAATTCACGTTACAAACAAGTAGTATATTATATACATATATAAAGAATATAAACATATAAAAATAATTACCTCAAACTGAAATACAAAAACATCATATTTTTTTTATTATAAATAACAAGGAATTTTACCATAATTATATTAAAATTATACTTACAGTAAGCTACAAACAGAATTAAAAATAAATAAATATGAATCATCTAATAGTAAGTGAATTGAAAATTTGTATAAACCTTAGTTTGGCATTTATATATATAAAATAGATCTCTGTCTGTCTGTTTAATTCAAAAACGGTGGATGTAGTGATTCGTGAGGAAGGGGTATAATGCATTAAGGTTTTGTGTAAATTGGCTGAAATATGACGATGATTGTTGAAGATATCGGAAAAATTCATGCCAAAATATTATTATGTATTACAGAATTATTCCTCTTAAAAAGATTTTCCTACTAAACTGAATCAACGCATTGAACTACACGTAAGTACCTAGAGACGCACCCGAGCGAAGCAAGAACAAATCCCATAATGTGGACACGGACATGAGATTATTTGAGACTTTTAAAATCTCGTATAATCTCGTATCTTAAGATTACTACTTATTACTCTTTATTCCGAGATTCACTGTTTTTAAGCTTATTGTATTTGACTAGATCACTAGTGTTCTACTAGAAAACAAGACCTGTGAGAGATCCGGCTCTCCCAGAGACAAAATTATAGGACCGCTTCTTAAGTTCTCATTTCCGGGCTGCAACTGACTACTGAGACCTTCTTGGTTGAAAGCTCCAACAACTAAATACTTGACTCGATTCTGAAGTCACCTTCTTCTGATTATGATTCGAACTGAATTCACTCGAACCCTGAGCCTCCGAGGGTTCTAGGGCTTATTTCAAACGTTATCAAATAATATACTCACCATAACTGTTTCTATTGTCTGTAAAGTGAAAAGGATATTTATTTTTTTATTGTATGGTAGCTTAAAAAAAACATTATTTCTAAATTCTACATAAATTTTGAGGATTTGGTATAATAATATGGCACTTAGTTTTTGAATCGAATCGATTTTTTGAAAAGGTAAATTAAGCAAAAGCGAACCGATTTTAATTAAATAAAAATCGGCATTCTGTTTTTCTAAAGTTTATTAAAAACTTAATAAAATATTGAATAAATAATTCAAATGAAAATATCATAACCCAGCGCCTTTTGTTGTTTCCTGTTTTCTAAAAAGATATAATAATAATGTTTTTGTTGATATTCACGCAAAGGTACGTAGGTACCAACATAATGTAGTAAATTTTTTAGTTTTGGAGTTTTTGCACATACTGCATATATATATGACGTATGTATTAGCGGCTCACCCTCGCTTCGCTCGGGTTCGCCTCTAGGAAAACAAAAACAAACCTATCCCACGAGAACCATACATTTTCTGTGATAAAAATAGCCTATACGTTATTCCAGACTATAATCTATCTCTGTGCCATCAGATCCGTTCAGCCGTTCTGGCGTGAAAGAGTGACAAACATCCATATTCACAAACTTTCATATTAATAATATTAGTGTAGAAGACTAGATAAATATTTCAAATTTTCGCGGGCGCACAAACCCTCAGAAAACCTCCCCCACTTGGCATAATTTACTAACAAACAAATATACATATATTTAAATATACTTAAGTTAATAAGGCGAAATGAACAGAAAAACTTTCTTACCGAAGCCGTAGTACTTGTACTGTTATCCTAGAAGAAAAACAAATAAATTACCATTCAATTCCTTTGCCTTTAAGGCTTCAAAGCGTGCCAGTTAAGCACATATTACTTTGCCAATGTCACGTAGAATGGAGAAGACACGAGAGAGATTAAAAAAAAACTTAAATAAAAGAAAGAAAACACGTCAGATATGTGACAGATTAACATACATTCATATTTATATTATATGCCAACCAATGAGACAGCAAAACTGCCTAGTTAGTCTAGCGGTTGGCGGAAGTCCTGGGATCGAGTCCCGGGTCGAGCTAAGTATAGTCACTGTGCTTTTCTTACAAAAAATCTCAGTGACAGACCGGAGTTGAAAAGTTGGCAGTGTTACACTCCGGTGTCTACAACATGTAAAGCCGTAGCCTTATGTAGTCCCACCAGTGTTTGAAAGCGAAATGAATACTTAGAGCGTTGTGCTTGCGCATACTTGTGCACTAGAATATCTACCGCCGTGGCCGAAACCGTTTAGTGTAAAGTGTAAATACAGAAGTTATAGATCTTTTTATTACGTACAACTCTTTTTTTTTTTTACACTAACACACAGCGCCATCTAGTTCCATTTTAAGCTACGAAGCTTGTGTTATGGATACCAGATAGTTGATACAGTACACATAATATATAACTTTAAATATATACATATTATAAATATAAACACCCATGACTAGAGTACAAACATTCGTGCTCATCACACAAATTAATGCCCCCAGCGGGACTTGAACCCGCGACCGCTGGCACAGAAAGTAGGGTCACTATAAACTGAGCCAAACGTGTCGTTTAAGAAGACATTATTATAATACTTTTATACTTATATTACGTTTAAATGTCATAAATATCCTTAGAGTAACTTACTGATGCAGTTGTCTTAGATGTGGTTGTTTTATTCTGTAAAATAAGAATATGTTATAATAGTAGAGCTCGCGGGTTCGACTTCCGACGTGCCATCTGGTTTGGACGGAAATCTAGATATGAACATTAGTATTCTGTGATTTCGCGTGCAATCGTCGAGAAAGCATTGAATTTATTTTGAGTTTTGTTTAATTCATAAATAATTTATATAAAATAAGGAATGAGATAATCTCCCGCGATAAAAAGTGGCCTATGTCACTCTCCAGCCCTCCGAACTATCTCCACACAAAAAATCACGCCAATCCGCCAAGCAGTTTCGACGTGAAAGAAAGACAAACAAACCAACTTTCACATTTATAATATTAGTATGGATATAATAAATGTATAATGTAACTTTTGATATTATATGCAGGTACTTACCGCCGGATACGTTGTTCCATAGGAACATAAATAAGCTATTACTAGAATTAGGAAAGTGTTTTGAAACATTCTGGAAAAAATATATAAAAAACAATATAAATATCTGGTAGATTATCACTAGTTTGTGAATGGGACAATTGATTTTGCCTTTTTAGTCTAGAGGATGTTGGTTCGATTCCAGACTCGGCCAAATTCTATTATGAAAACTATTAAAGACGCAGAAAACCATATAATCTCCACTATTTTATTAAATATGGAAGAATTATAGAAATTAATGGTAATATTATTGTAAAAAAAAATACCTTTATATATTATAAGTGAATTTTTGAAAGTAAAGGGAATAAAACAACCGATTCGTATTTTACTTTTACGATATAATAAAATTTCAACATTGAGTGTTATGAAATCTTGAAATGTTAGAGCCGTCAGCCAACTTCAAAGGTTTCTTAAATTGTTTTTACTGGACTGTGAAAGGAGGGTTTTGTTTGACTTGTATATTATATGTATGTATATCCTATTCAATGTACCCTCGTAATTACTAAGCGGTTTAACAGATTTTGTTGAATTACACGTGGTTAGATTTGTTAATGACGTTAGTGTCATATTATGGTATATTAAAATATTAATAAAAGACTAGCGGAAAACAAAAACAAACCTATCCCACGGGAACCGTAGATTTTTCCGGGATAAGAAGTAGCCTGTGTTATTCCAGACTATAATCTATCTCTGTGCCAAATTTAATCCAGATCCGTTCAGCCGTTCTGGCGTGAAAGAGTAACAAACATCCGTACTCACAAACTTTCACATTTATAATATTAATATGGATTAAATAGGTCTTCATTAAATTTTATGCGCTAATTTAGGCACTTACAAAAAAAAATTCTTCCAAATCTATCAAGTGGGGTATCTGTGGTACTACAAGTATAGGGAAAAATCTGAAAACTATGCATTTGTAATTAAATCATAAAAAAACATGGCATCCAAGGAACGGCGGTCCAAATTTTGAATGGAGTTAACCGAGTCATGTATGAAAGGGCTTATTGGCACAAACTTAAACAGATTTTTAATTATTTTTATCATGTATAGTTAATATGTGCCTACAAATTTGTATGGAACCCTCAGTGGGCTGCAAAATAGTATAAATTAAATAAAAAACCAATTAAAAACATTATATATATAATCATATATTTATATTTACAATTTTTTTTACAGTATTCACTTTGCTTCTTCAGATTTTTCTTGATATTTTACAACACCGCGTTCTATAAGCTCTGGTATTTCAACTGCAAGCCACGGACCGAGCTGGAAATAAAAAAAATATTGTGTTCATTCTATACATACAAATAAATAAAATTGAAGTGTCTGTTTATAATGTCAAAATAGTTGCTTTTTACTAAATGCATATAAAATCTCTCTCAGCAGTGCCCTGGAGAAACACGCTAGGAGGCGCGGGGTGTGCCATACGGCTTTCTCCTGGTACTTCCTGGACCTTGGAGCAACCCCGTGGTTGTTGTGGTCTGCTTCAGCAGACCTACCGTCGGGGCGTCGTGGTTGAGTGTGTAAGCGATCCTGCGACGCCCCATTAAGACGGGGGAGGTTCTGTTGGATTTTAGGTTAGTACTGGCTTTGCCAGTGAGTCCCACACCTCGTGCCTAAATACATGCAATGCATTTCCCAAAGTTAAAAAAAAAGAAAAACCTACATTATAAAAAGCTTATTCCATCCAACCATTTTCAGTATAGATTAAATAGATGTGTAACAAAATGCAAAATGGTATCAAACTCATATTAATTTAAATTTTGGATACGACAGTTAGAAGTGGTTTAAAAAAATAATTCTTAGATTTAGATATTACATAAAAAAAACGTGTGTGTGTACTTATGTACCGCACGTAAGAAGTTATACTTTTTTGGCGTAACAGAACTACAATAGCCAAAGATTTTATTCCGTATGTCATAACTCTCTGTTTGTAAAAGGAATGCAGCTTACTTCATCATGTCGCTGTTTGGCTGTCGGTGTGCGCGCGCATCGAAAAATTTTACACTCATAATTTTTTCCAAGCATGCCAAAAGAAGTATAATTTCAAAAATAACACTCACCCCTAAAGCCATAGCATGGGCTATGCCAAATCTTGGTACATTTCTCGCCCAAAGCGGTTTGAAATGATCAGTTAGACATATTTTACCGCCTCTATACATTTTCGCCGTTTTACCATCTAACCCTGGTAAAGCAAGTTCTGGGGCTGTGGTTGGGTATGTTATTGGTATCTGTAAATATCATTCTAATATTATAAATGGGATTTGTTGATGGGTTTTTGATGTACCCGTTCTTTGCGCAACAAAAACTATGTCTTGTCAGTCTGTGAAACGCTGGGCTTCCTCTAGGGGCACTCGGAGTTAGTGCCCAGGGCGGAAAATTTTCAAGGGCAGCAAAATTCAGAGAGTGAAAAAAAATATCTTAATGTTTTAACTCAAAAATTCTTTTTGTATTTTCCAAAAAATTATTTATAAAAAAAAATACAAGTACATTTTTCCATTTTACCTTGTAAAATGGTTATAATGACTATTGGAGGTAGTTGACAGTTGGTGTTTTATCTGAGCTACTATACATTTATGTAGTCAAATTATAAAAATGAAAGAAATAAGTGCTTGATAAATGTAATTTAAGTTTATTTAAGCATGTTAGCATGTATCTCTGAGAATGGATCGAACATTGAGGTTATAGTGTGCCAAAGAAATATATATACAAAGATATACATAGTTGTGTATAGCATTACCCTCTTTTGGGGCAGTTAGGTAAAAGTAGCACTATTAACAAAATTAACTTTCCCTTTCTCATAGTAATATTATGAAATACTAACTTATATGGCGTTAATCAATTGAATATTATATGTATAAATATTTTTTAACATACAAACATAAAAAAATGTTTGATGTTACAGAGCCCTTGGTGTACCAGTAAAAATTGCACTTATCTGATTATAATTAGCATATACTAAATGCTAATATATTGCAAGTGCTTCAAGTGTAAACATCACTCATATTTGATTAAAATTTCTATTTCAATCTCAAATTTTTCTCAAGTCTTTCATCTATACCTTTCACTACTTACTCACTGTAGGTTTCTTAGCATTATTATAAAGCAATACTTACATCAAATTCCAAGTCGAATTCATATTTCAGTAAATTATGGACATACCAGCATTTTCCGAACCACTTTGTGCCAGTTTTGTCCGATTCCAATCTAAACCAATCATTATCAGCTTCTTTATTGTTTTGTACATACTGAAAAAAATTTTTACATTAAACAATTATACTCCATTGAAAGACAGAAAATTATGCTTATTATTTAATATTAACCTGTATATTATATGTATATGGCCTAATTTTGTAATAAGTAATGTTTATTAACAAACATGTTAAATTAATTTATATAGAATCCTTTAAGACATCTAGGCCACATTATTTATTACTGATCTGTTAATTTGTGATAAAACCATTCTGGCATATTTAAATATGCATGTGATCCCTATAGTATCCCTAGTAATGTTCAAGACATTTGTAAAAGTACACTTAAAAAGTCATATATTGACCAATATTATTTTCCATAAACCCATAAACTATCATCTATCATAAGTTAATGAGTCATCTAGCTTATGTTGTAATAATAAAGAATAATATTTATAAGACATCAAAAGAGAAATCATAAAATTAATTTTATACGAATACATTATAGATAGATGGAATTATAATGAAATATATATAATGAAGAACAAAGTGAAAGTATTGATCTTGGTTTTCAAACAGATAACTTAAAATACCAAGATTTCAGTTTAATACAGTAAAGGAACAAATTACCCAATAATAATGAACAATATAACATACAATAAATGAAATGTTTACCTTAATTAAAGCTTGATATTCTTCTTTTAAGCGAGTCGTCCATAGTTCCTTGTCTCTCGGTCCAGCTTTTGTTTTTAATAATGGTATGCTACTTAAAGTCTTCTTTGTACCCTCATCTACCATTTTTACATATATTTATGTAAATCATAGAGTATTATTATTTCGAATGGCAAAGTTGATCGTGAAAATTTCACGTACACAACATAATTGTCCTAAATGAACAGAATTTCTATAGTGTCAAAACTCAAAACTTACGTTACGTCAAACATCTCGATTCTCGATACGTGTCATCAGTCATATATTCTTTGTTTTTATTTTATTGATATGGAATCTAGCTCTTAGACCTCAGTTTCTAGTAATGTAATAAATAATAATACAATAAAATAAAAATTAATACATAGTTCAATTTGATATTATATAGCATTTCTAATAAAGTAAAATATATATTCAATTTCTTAATACTTAAATCTTTTATTAAACTATTTCTTTATCCTAAAAGTATTTCCAGATGTTAAATGTCAATCTAATGCCAAGTTTATGTCAAATGTCAATTGTCAATATAAATTTATTAAAATATCGACTGGTTGGTTAAAAAAGAGTTCTGAACTAAAATATCCGTTTATTTTTAGATAAAAAAGCACAATATTAATAACTATAAAGTAAATTACAATAATTATTGCCTGACCTACATTTTATAAAATAATACAACAAATAAAGAATATAAAGGTAAGTCTTTAAAAAAAACATTTTTCACTCCACCTGCAACTATTTTATTTGTTTACAATTTTTTATAACAAACGAAAATAATTTGTTTCACTATTAATACAACCTGCTTTTCTGAGCATAGTATAATTTAAAGATATTAAGATACCTACATCTTTGAAACTGACTGTTTCAGTACTGAAACAATGGGATCAGAACAATCAGTGCCTCCTAAGAAACAGCCACAACGAGCTCCACCGGTCCGAAGAGGTCACACTATAGCTATATCAAGTTTTCCTGGTATTATAGTTTTTGTTGCAATAATCAATAATAATATTCATACTAATATTATAAATGTGATAGTGTGTTTGTTTGTTTGTCCTTCTTTTGGACGGATTGGCGTGATTTTTTGTGTGAAGATAGAAGACGAGGGCTGGAGAGTGACATAGGCTTTTACTTTTTGCGGAAGATGATCTCCTTCCCATGGGAAAACACATTATAATACTACCCAAAAAATTATGATCAGAATTACTTGAAATTTGGTATTAATGCTCTTCAACTAAATAATTCAATACTAACTAAATAAATACGTTTTAGTATTTTTCGAAATTCATCCCATAAGGGGATAAAATAGGTGATGAAAGTTTGTCTGAAATGTACCTTTTTAGTTTTTTTTATAGTTTTAGTGCGAGTGAGACCTCGGGTTCTGCTAGTATTTATATTATTTACTTATTGATTGAAAGTTAACAATTATTTTCCTTATTAGCATCATAATATTATTATTTTGTGTATCCTTCATTTTATGTAAAGAATAATGTGATTTGAATTATATTTTTAATAAAAAATGTTGCTCTAGAATGTCTAATGTTGTTGTCAAGTATTCATAATATTGTTTCTTAGGATTTGATTTACAATTTAAAAAGAATTTGCACTTATACATTTATTAAAATGCAAACTGTATTCTAAGAAGACAGAAATGTAACTCACTTTTTTATTTCTATTATCTTCATCTTTGTCTATACTAATATTAGAAAGAGATAAAGTTAGTTTGTTTGTTTGAACATGCTAATCTCAGGAACAACTAATCCAATTTGAAAATTCAATTTGTATTACATACCCTGTTTGTTGAGAAAGGCTATATCTATATCTTATAATATAGGCTATCTTTATATATATAATTCTTCTGTGAGTGTGTATGTCACTGAACTTCTCTCAAACGACTGGACCGATTTTGATGAAATTTTTTGTGTGTGTTCAAGGGGATCTGGGAATGGTTTAGATTCACAATTTGAATAATAATTTTCATCAAAAAAATTATTAAAAAAAGTTTGAAATTTTCAAATTAAAGACGTGTAGACAGGACAACGTCTGTCGGGTCCGCTAGTATCTTATAATATAAAAGATATCTAGGGAACCCGACTAGAGCAAGGGTGAGTCGTTGTTAAATAATATTTTTGTTCTTCTGTTTCACATTCTACACTAACTTACATAATCCTTTTTGAACACCATCCTTCATAGTATAAAACATATTTTTATTAACATTTGCTTTACAAATTGTGATTTCTAATGTAGATACAAGAAGGCAAGATCCGGTACCAAGTGGTAATAACTCGCCAGGTGCGAGTATGTGCTCAGATTCAGAACTGCCATATATATCTTATACAGTGGATCGGCCAATAGGAGGTAATTTATTTAAAAAATAAATAAAACTGAAGTGTCTGTTTGTAATATAAATGTGAATGTTTTTTACTAAATGTATATAAAAGTATATACAGTACTTATAAGAAAAAAAAAAAATATTAAAATTTTTGTTTGTCTGTTTGTCCTGGGTAATCTTCAAAACGGCTGGACCGATTTTAATGGGACTTTCACTGGCAGATAGCTGATGCTTGGGCTTCTTTTATTTTATATAAATAAGTTCGGGTTCTGTGTAAGAAAATGAAAACCCGTGACATTGTAAATAAAATCCGCGTAAAAAATGAACATGAGAGAACAGAAATTGGAATTTTGGTATTCAAGTACACATTGCTATGCAAAAAATATTAGGGAAAATTTATAACATAAATTCTGTAATTATTTTTATTTTTTACATATTGAAAGATACCAACTCTTTAAAGTTTGAATATGTCCATGGACTATGGTGTAGATCCCTTAGAATAATTATAATCTTTTATAAATTATAGATTCACCAAAACATTCCTCGAAATCTCAGAGAATGGATAAAAAATCTCTTCTCCAAAGAAGACAGCTCAGTGTTCAAGCGAGAAAAAACAAACGTGCCCGAGACATTGTTGTTGTGAAACACGCCACAGATACACAATTAGATGAAGATATAAGGAGGTTGCAGGTGAAAAGAGTTTTTATGACCTTTTTTTGAGTTTTACTTGTTGAAGTTATACATACTTATGGCGCGTTATGATAACATCACATTTATCTGGTTGTGACATCTATCGGCACTCTTGAGTGTTAGCGTTAACACGTCACGTGACCATGTCCATGACGACTTACATGAATTTCCTCCACATCCAAACAAACCTGCCTATAAAAGTTGTCACTTCAACAAATATTAAGAAGCTGTTTTAATCTAAACAGAAAATGTCTTAAAAACTTTTCTAATATAATAGTAGAAGAAACAAATAATAGGAAATATGTGTGTAATTTAAATAAAAAAGTATCTGTGATGAGTGTGTATATTATATATTAAATTTCAGTTTTTTGAAGCTGGATATTTTTTTTACAGTTATATAACGGTTTAAGCTATTGTATAAAAAATAAAAAAAATCTTGTATATTTCCTATTAAATAATGCCCTCTCTTACAATGATTTACATTTTTCTACAGATTTTGTCTTTTTATCTATAGTGATATTATAAATGTGGAAGTTTGTAAGGATGGATGGATGTTTGTTACTCTTCCACGTCAGAACGGCTGAACGGTTCCGGATGATATTTGGTACAGAGACAGGTTATAGTCTGGAATAACACATGGGCTACTTTTTATCCTGGAAAAATGTACGGTTGTACAGAGTCGAATTTGTACATTAAATATTTTTTGGAAAATCTTATTGAAATGGTCATTATTATCGATACGGAGTCTGTCTGTTTGTCGGGAACGCATCACGAGAAAACCCTTGGACAGATTTTGATGAAATTTGATATGATTATAGCTGGTTATCCGATTCAACATATAGGATACTTTTTACTGCGGGAAATGTCTCATCTCCTAGAAATCTATACTAAACTTTAAAACTTAACTAGGGATGAACCCGAGCGAAGGTGAATTGTTAGTAATTAATATTTTCTGTTTAGGAGATACCCACGTTCTTACCGATCATGCGAGGGACTCTCGGTCTGCCCGGCGCCAGGGACCCTGAAGTACTTGAAGGTATTTTAATTTAATAGTTTTTATAGAGTATATGGTTAACTCAAACTAAGGGATAATATAGACAGAGTATCATTAAACTTAACATGAAGCCGAATAAATAATGTTTTAAAATATTATACCAATGAGAATTTGTATAGTGAGTGAATGGTAAATCTTATATTTGAAAGTCGGGTTTGTTACAACACTTATAACTCGAGAACTGCTGGACCGATTTTTATGATCTTTGTTTTGTTGGATTTGTCTTCACTCCGAATAGCAGAATAACTATTAAAACATCGGAAAAAAATCACAAAAAAAAGAAAAATAAACTATTCCATACTAAGCGTCAAAACGTACCTAGGTACGAACCTGAGCGAAGCGAGGGTGAGTCGCTAGTTAATGTAAATAAAAATACCTAACGGATTTTATTATAATAATTAAAAAGATAAAAAAGTTAATATTCTACTCTCTTTCAAGCAAACGAGATCTAATATTTAAAAAAAAAATCTAAATTACACAATTTTAATTTTATTATTCATATTTTCTTTGAAAAATTGTAAATTAACAACTATTTGTTATATAAAATTCCTCTTGTTCTTTAAAATAAGTAAACGATCTGTAGAAAATCGAATCTAGAAAAGTACCATAAACAATAAACCACGCTACTATTTTTGACTTTTACCTTTATTTTGGCGGACTCCGTCTATATGATTATTTAGTCTGTGTTAATAATTCATTCACCAGTTATTATACTAATTATAGCCAATGAAGTTTAATTAAGAATTTTTCAAAGATTCCCAAAGTATAAGTAGATATTTCATATATATGAAACAATTGAACAAAAAAAGCGTGTGAAAATTTTAGTTGGTCATAAAATTTGTAATTATGCTATACAATTTACACCCCAGACACAATTATCCAAAAAAAAAATAATAATAATTTAAAACCAAGTTTTAACCGCGGCTTCACTCGTGTGGTAGCAATGTAGGTAAAAAGTAACGTTTTTACGTTACAACGTGAAGAAGTAACAAACATACATACAAACTTTTGCATTAATAATAAGGGTCCAATTAATATATCTATACAGAAAAATAAGATTGAAGTGTCTGTTTGTAATGTCAAAATAACAGCTTTTTACTAAATACATTATATGAAATTATATACGGTACTTATGAGTAAAATACAATTTTTAATTTTTTTTAATTCATCTGTCTATTTGTTCCGGCTAATCTTCGAAACGGCTGGACTGATTTTGACGGGACTTTCACTGGCAGATAGCTGATGTTATAAGGAGTAACTTAGGCTACTTTACTACTTTATTTTGGAAAAAGAATTAGAATTCTGATCAAGAAAATTAAAACACACTTAGAGACGCTAGTAAGAAAAAGATTTACGGCGATTTTTTTTCTAATATCTCTAAAACGTGACACTTTAGGGCACCATATTGCCAATACATATTTATTATTTTATATAATCATACCTTCTTGTTTTATTGTGAACCGTAAATTAGAAAATAATAGAAATCGTTCAAGTGCGATTCGGACTCGCACACGAAGGGTTCCGTATCGTAATCGTTTTTTTTATTTGTATGGCAGCCTTTTTGAAATTCGTCATCTAGGGTTTTTATTATTTGTTGTTGTAACGGCAATAGAAATATGTACATACTATGTGAAAATTTCAATTCTCTACTTATTACGGTTCATGAGATACAACCCTCTGACAGACGGACGGAGAACGCAGGTTTAGTAATTGGGTTCCGTTGGCACCCATCGGGTACCCTAAAAATGACGGAATATTGGCAATGCCAAAAAAAATTAATAATATTTTTTTAGTATTAACTTGTATACAGTGTCTATTCATGAAATATACTGTGTTTATCCATTTCTCCCAGGATTAGATCCTAAACCTTGGGTGAGGATGACGACTCGTATTCAAGCTCATTTAGCTGCCTGCTCACAACCTCTGGCCACTGAAGAGATACACCTTGCTAATAAAATAAAAGAGGTATTTGTGTACAACTAGTTATAATATTAGTTGCTAAGTATGTGCTGGCACCGATTTAATAGGTAGGTATACTATTTAATAGGTAGGCTTTAATTACTTAGCCAAAGCACACCGACTTCGAAAATATTTGATTTGGTATGTATAGTAAATGAAAACTACCAATCAGTAATTTTTTACTTTTTAGTGCTTTTGTTTGAAGTCGGTTTTTAGTTTTTTGTTAAAAAGTTTTTATTTTTCCCTAATTAGTGTAGACAGTAGTAAGAAAGCAAAGTAAGAATTCTAAAGTGTTAAAATCAAACAAAATAAGCCCAAACTCAAAGTATCTACTATTAGTCGTTGATAAGTTCCACCTATCCACCTTCTGGTTTTACAATCAGATCAGGTCAACAATACCGAACCACTGTAATATCAACGGAAATAGAAACACTTGCAAAGTTTCAAGTCAATATGACAATTAGAAGTAGGTTAAATTCATCATTAGCTATTTTTCCACCCTTAGGGGTGGTATTTTTTTTTGTAATTTAAATGGGACCAATCTGGAAGTCTGGAAGTGAAGAGGAATTTTTGTTTTGTTTGAAAGTGTATACTACACTTTCAAACAAAACAAAAATTGTCCAAATCGGTTAATAAATGACGAAGTTCTGAGGTAACAAACAAAAAAAAAAACAGTCGAATTGAGAACCTCCTCCTTTTTGAAGTCGGTTGAAAATAAATATACTGGGACATCAACACAGCGCCATCTAGTTCCATGGTAAGCTACGAGGCTTATGTTATGGATACCAGATAGTTGATACACTATACATATATAACTTTAAATACATACATATTATAAATATAAACACCCATGACTGGAGTACAAACATTCGTACCCATCACACAAATGAATGATCCCAGCGGGACTCGAACTAAAATATAAATATATTATTTAAAAAAAAAAAATTAGTAATATATTGGGTCAGTGGTAGCCCAGTGGTAATGCGCTCGCTTGGAAAACCGAATGAAGCGAGTTCAAATTCCGGGTCTCACACCTCAGATATTTTCATGTGCGAATCATTTCCAACATGATTACCAATTGTCTTAACGGTGAAGGAAAACATCGTGAGGAAACCTGCATGTCTGAGAGAACCTAGCAAGTTTTCAAAAGACATGTGAAGTCCGCCAACCCGCACTTGGCAAGCGTTGTGGACTATGGCCTGATCCCCCTCGTATTGAAGGCGGGCTCGTGCCCAGCAGTGGGACGTTAAAAAGGGCTGAATACATACACACATGCATATTAGTAATAAATATTCATTTTTATAAATAACTAGCGACTGACACTCGCTTAGAATCGGGTTCGTCCCTAAACAAAATCAAATATATCATACTTTATATTTTTTTCGGGATGATATATAGCACATGGCCTTCCTCAATAAACGGTTTATCTAATGCGAAAATAATTTTTCAAATCGGATTAGTAGTTCCTGAGATTAGTGCCTTCAAACAAACTCAAGGGAGCGTAACAGTAATCATAAATTTCAACAAATCGGGCAGACTTCCTCACATTTTTGTTAAGGGTACAGAAAGAAGAGTTTGTTTTTTCGTACTTTGAACGCAGGCGAAGCCGCGAGTTCTGTAAGTATATACAGGGTCATTTTTAATTTACTGAAAACCTTTTGGGAATATACTATGTATTTACATCATAACAACAACATCTGTAACAAGAAAAAATAATATTTTAAATAAAACTATCTTTTCGGATTTTGTCGCGGATTTATTTGCATTTTTGTGTATATGCAAATAAATCAGCGACAAAATCCGAAAAGATAGTTTTATTTAAAATGTCAAATATTCGCGTATTTAAAATTTTAAATATTCGCGTAAATCTAAGAAAGTATTAAAGTAATATTTCTTAAATTTTTATTTTCATACAAAAATAAAAATATTTGTTTTGCACCTCCTAAACTTTAAAGTTCTAGCATCTGGCCATGTTTAAATGAGTAAGCGCGGCTTCCTACATCCCTCCACCCCTCCCCCTCCACCGGTCACGCACTTTCTTTTGCTAATGCTGGACTATTACCGTTGAGAAGGTGCAATAAAAATACTTTTTTATACTTAAAATTTAAGATATATAATTTTTTTTCTTACAGATGTTGTTTTGTTATAAATAGTGTATTCCCAAAAGGTTTTCAGTAAATTAAAAAGGACCCTGTATATAAAACAGAAAACAGATAAATTGGAAACAAAAGGCTACTTATCTTTTACAAAAATCTCTACCAGAAACCCTTGAGCGTGAGAAAAAAAAAATAATGAGTTGTTTTATTATTTATAATATTATATGTGTTTATAATATGTGATAATTAAAATGTATAAAAATAGAATAAATACATTGAAATGTCCAAAGGAAGTTTGGTTTGTATGATGCTTAATACTTTCTTAGATAATTTCTAAATAAGTGTAAACTAAATTAAAATTACATATTATTCTTAATTAATTTTAACGTTTTTAAATTACACAATAATGTTGATTTGAATAATTAATATATTTTTTTATGTTTATAAATATAATATTGGCAACACTAAATGGGATTACTAATTGATAAAGTTTTCTAAAAATTGTAATAATTATAATAAAAACAGCCAAAATGAAATAAATAATATTCCATATTCAATTATAAAACTTATTAAAATTATAAAAACGTATAAAATAAAACTTAACAAATATTGTTAAGGTACTTTGATCCCATTTTTGAATTTTTTGAATTTATTTTGTGATTTTTTGGGTAGGCTGTCTGTAACAACTATATATTGCCTGCCTTTGAGACATCTTAAACCCTTAGTCTCTCCCGTGATCATGATTGCTGTAATGAATTCGAAACGCCATGAACTAAAAATCAAAATAAAGCCGCGAATAAAAATGAAACGATAGTTTTATTTAAATTGTAAGATGTAATTAATGCAAAAAAAATCAAAAGTTTTTCATATCTCGCATTTGGACCGCGCCATCTTTTGGCAAATTTTATTACTAGAATTAGCTTATGTTTTCAGATAACACTATCTGTGTACATAATACTATCCAAATCCGTGTAGCTCTTTTAACGTGCAGTAACAAACATACATACAAACATCACTTTCATTCACTAGCAACTCACCCTCGCTTCGTTCAGGTTCGTCCCTAGGTACGTTTTAACGGCTAGTATTAAATAGATAGACTACATATATGTTATACTCGTACAGCCTATATCCTTCCTCAATAAACGGGATATCTAATGCATAAAGAACTTTTCAAATCGAATTAATAGTTCCTGAGATTAGCGTGTACAAACAAAAAATAAACTCTGCCTCTTTTAAAAATATAAAATAAATATATTAGGACATTAACACACAGCACCATCTCGTTCCATGGTAAGCTAGGAAGCTTGTGTTATGGATACTAGATAGTTGATACACTACACATATATAACTTTAAATACATACATATTATAAATATAATACCCATGAATGAAGTACAAACATTCGTGCAATGAATGCCCCCAGCGGTAATCGAACCCGCGACCGCTAGCACGGCAAGTTGGGTCACTACAAACTGAGCCAAACGTGTCGTCAAATAATATCAGTTTAGATTTAATATAAATTTTAGGCTGATGCAGAAATAACCCGCCTATATACAATATCGGTGGAAAAACAAAGAAACAACGCAAGAAACGCAGAGAGACTATCGCGTGTAAGAGAAGTGGCACATCAATTGTCTAGATGTAACTCTTTATTGAATCAGGTATGAAATGAAATTAAACTTTATTCTATTATACTTAAAAGCACTTTTGAATCGTCAATTTTGTTTATAAAGTGTCAGTGACAGTTCGTGAGGAAGCTACCACCGGCTTGGGAAGTCCTACTATAGCTCTTTTTTTAATATGTTATAGAGCTAGTACATGGGCGACCGAGCTAAGCTCGGAGTTTTTGGCCGAAAGTACAATTATTTTTTTAATTTGGCTTAAAAACAAAAAAAAACTTGAATAAATACAAGAATAAATAAAAGTAAAAATTTTGTATCCGACTGGGTTTTGAACCCGGACACTTGTGTTTCAATCTTGCGCCTTGACCGCCTAACCATGATGCTTATGCCCGAGCGTGCGAAATTAGCGACTATGTGTTGCTTGGAATAATGCGAAAGAAAACCGCATGAAAACTTAAAAACACGCCTTTTCCCAGGCATAAGACTTAATCTATATAGATTTTTCGCCACCAAAAACCCTCACATACCAAATTTCAGCGAAATCGTTAGAGCCGTTTCAAAGATCGCCGGTATAAATAAATGTACTGGAATTACTTGTTTAAATACATTAGATATGAAATATATTTGAATATATTTTTTAACTAGCGACTCACCCTCGTTTTGCTCGGGTGTGTACTGTGTACCTAGATTCCTAAGAGTAGCCTATGTGTTACGTAAGGTTATAGTTTATAAGTGAAACGAAATTTCATCTAAATCTGTTCAGCATTTTCAGAGTGAAGTAACAAACATACAAACATACAAACATTAGAATTTATAACAGTAACTCAATTTATTAATTAATGTTTTTTTTCCAGACCCTACAAGACATAGATGAATTAAATAAAATGCTCCCAGAAGATAAGCGTTTAGAGCCGTTTGTATGGAATGAAGTTAAATGTAAATAGTTTTAAAAAGGCAAATCTTCTAACTTTAGCTAAAGACTAACACACGATATACTTCATAATATATCTGTGGTGTCGAGGTCAAGGGGGATGAGTCAATAAATACAACTTTTCACCAGAGGCGAAAAATTAAAATATTATTCATTTCAAAACATAAATGTATTTTAACAAAAGAAAAGAAAAGTTTGTTTATAACAAGTTTGTAATTTTTTCCATTTAAAATTGGCGCCTTTTTATGGTAATTAAAAAGCATATTTTTAATTATTATTTATTAAAATAAATGATCATATCATTAAACTATTTTTTTAATTTTTATGACTCATCCCCCTTTATCTTGACACCACAGATATAGCAGGAATTCCCAAACGAAGGACGTCGAGAGTTTATTTTGTATAAACAATTAGTAAAATTACTCAAATTTGATTAACGAGCGAATTATTTCGCTTCCCTTCAATTTTTTCAGAGTTTCCCTCTGGAGTATTTTTTAAAACCACAATATAGCTTTTTGAGATGTATTTTTTATCTTTTTTTTTTACTTTAACACAAAAATAAGAAATAGATACATGTAACGCCATCTATTGACATTTATTTGAACTAATTTTTCTTTGTTCGTAATGAGATCCCTTGGTATATTAATGGTTCCGATTATTTAAGTAGTAAAATTAGACTAAAATAAGAAAGGCAGAACGTAGAAGATATTGATTGAAGAAGATAAGCTAAAGAAGATTCTATCAAACCTTCTACTTTGAGATTGAAAGTAATAATAATGTCTTCTATATATAAGTGATAGTAAATGCCTAGGTAATAATGTAGTGGCTAACATGTACGGCTGCAGATCTGGAGGCCCTGGGTTCGAGTCCTGGGTCGAGCCAAGGTTAATTAGGTACTGAGTTTTTGTATTAAGAAATTCTCGGTAACAACCCGGAGTTGAGAAGTGGACTTTGTTTTAAGTCGGTTAAAATTAATTAACCGATTTAAAATAAATTAATATATAGTAAAATTGGTTCAATTATCAAGGTATTGCGTAACATAAAGACAAAAAAAACATTCATCGGCTATTATCAAGAATCAATAATATGTATAAGTATACATATCTATGTCATTTTATTTAAATTTTAAATTATATCGCATATGAATTATATAAAATGTATTATTAATATTATGAAGAATAAAATTATTATAAAAACTCATTTGTTTTATTTTTGAGTAGCATTGCCCGCGGCTCCGCCCGCGTTCAGATGACCAAAAACCAAATTCTTAGGTTTTACATATTAGTATACTCTTACAATGCAGTTTTTGTATTTTTGAAGTGAAACTTTTTTAGAATCGTTGTGATTTGAAACTCGATGCAACGGAAATGCGACAGTAAAAAGAGACAAACATATAAATATATAGGATTAAGCCGGCGATAGAATGAGATAGAATACATTGCGATGATGCCATGGTAACCGTTGTTATTTGATAGAATACATTACACAGGAAGTGAAAAATAATAAAATTCATTACTGATTATTATGTATTGTTTATATTTATGTCAAATAAAATGTAAAATAACTTTTAAACTTGGTAAAAATAATATAAAAAAATCCTTATGATTATCCTACTCCTGATACTCTATATTCATATCATTTTCTGAAGTTTCACTTCTACGATGTGTGAATTGCACACACTCGTTTTTTCTCAGAAATAAGATATTTTCCCGCGGTAAAAAATATCCTATATGTTGACCCGGATAACCAGCTATCACCATACTAAATTTCATGAAAATCCCTCCAGTGGTTTTTCCGTGATGCGGTAACAGACAGACAGACAAAAATTCTAAAAACTATAGATTCGGCTTCTGTATCGATAAAAATGTCTATCTCAATAAAATATCCAAAAAAATATTTAATATACAGATTCGGCTTAGTTACAATTTTATTTTATGTATAGACATGAATCCTTTTGACTTAGAGTTTGGGAAGTCAACCTGCCCAAATTTGCGTTTTTTTTTGTCCTGGTGAGGCTCATTAGCATCTGGCAGCCTTTTTTTTGATTCGTGGGGAAACCCCTTTACGGGTGCCCGAGCGTGGAGAATGCACGGGGTATGTGGGACTTCTGTAGCGAAAAGCGCGACAGACTATCCACTAAAACCACCACGGTGATCCCTATCGCAAGAGAAGCGTCTGGCAGCCTAGCCGGGCGTGAAGTTGGCGCAGCGAGTCACTACAGATTGAGCCAAACGTGTCGTCAAAGTTCTCAGAGTATCACTTCTGTGCTTTAGAAAACAGGTGAGGCCGTCGGTCCTGCGCCTGATCTTTCACTATTTGTTTCGAATTATTGTCCCATCAGTTTGTGAGTGACAGAGATACCTATGCTTAGTTAAGGTATAGGCTCATATAAGGCAGAACGAAGGTTTTAAAAGAAAAGCCAATACATTGCGGGATATCTATACTAATATAATAAATGTGAAAGTTTGTGAGTATGGATGTATGTAATTTACAATAATAAAGCTCATTTACTTTTTATCCCGGAAGAATGTACGGTTCTCGTGGAATAGGTTTGTTTTTGTATTCCTAGAGGCGAACCCGAGTGAAGCTAGGGTGAGCTGCTAGTATATCATAGTTATATATTATTTTTAACTTCAGATTACTTAATGAATAAAAATGTTTGACTAACTGATCGACTTCAAATGTAAGTAGTGTGTGGCACACTGAAACTTAAGGGTATAATTATTTTCAACTAGCGGCTCACCCTCGCTTCGCTCGTGTTCGCCTCTAGAAAAACAAAGACGAATCTATCCCTCGGGAACCGTATAATTTTCCGGGATAAAAAGTATGTCTATGTGTTACTCCAGACTATAATCTATCTCTGTGCCAAATTTCATCCAGATCCGTTCAGCCGTTCTGGCGTGAAAGAGTAACAAACATCCATACATACTTACAAACTTTCACATTTATAATATTAATATATATTTAAAGTTATTTCGAAATAACTGTGTTATTATAACTTTATCAGTCAAATATTATACCGACTTCTTTTTCTTTTAAAAAAGTACAATTATGTTCAAATTTCCAGCAAACGGATTTGAACCATCCTAGATTTGAGACAAAGCTCAATAAAAACGTATTCGCTTGAAAAACTGTTATAGCAGGTTCGAATCCTGTGTATCGTATCGTATTCTTATAAAATTTTTATGTACGAATCATTTTTGATTTCATCACTGCTTGTTTAACGTGTTACAGTGAAGATAAACATCGTGAGGTAAACAATTTTTGGTAATAGGTGAAATACGGCAACATGTAATCGGACAGTGTAGCGTAGACTATGGCCTAATCAGTAATACCCATCGGCCATCTCATTGAGATTTAAGGGGATTTTCCTTGCCCAACCATTGAACGTTAAAAGGGCTGAAATGATGCTTATTATCTACATATATCTGTATCTATACATATAATAAAATTCTAAGTAAGATAAATCTGTACATTAAATATTTTTTGGAAAATTTTATTGAAATAATCATTATTATCGATACAGAAGCCGAATCTATACTTTTTAGAATTGTGGTCTGTCTGTCTGTCTGTCTGCCTAACTATTTGTGTGTCTGTCTGCTTGTCTAGCTGGGAACGCATCACGAGAAAAATACTGGACAGATTTTGATGAAATTTGGTACGATGATAGCTGGTTATCTGGTTCAACATATAGGATACTTTTTACTGCGGGAAAATATCTCATCTCTGAGAAATCTTTACTAACCGTTGAAACGTACCCAGAGACGAACCCGAGTGGAGTGAGGGTGAGTCGCTAGTATTTTATATCATTTTATAACTCATAAACAATTTAATTTGGAAAGTCACAGTAAAAAGCTTTCTTTATAAAATATTAAATTATAGAAAGTTGAAATAACACAAGTTTTTTACTCGTAGAACTAATAATTTGTCTTAATGTTTACATGATTGGTAGCTGCCCGCGATTGTGATGGCTAAATTGTACAAAAGTATCTAGCCAATGACACCTACTCAAAAATGTAAACCGTTCAAGAGATAATACTTTAAATGCAAACAGAGAGGTGTTGTGTATCTATTGAATTATACAAATTTATTTATGCAAAAATATATAAGTATATTATTACACTAAATTATGTAGTACTAGCGACTCACACTCGCTTTGCTCGGGTTCGTCCCTAGGTTGATTCTTCATACATACTTTCATCCCTATTTTCACCCATTTAAGGGATGATTTTCGGGATAAAAAGTATACTATGTCCTTTCCAGGGTCTCAAACTATCTTCGTACCAAATTTCATCGAAATCGGTTCAGTAGATCCAGAGATTACCCCCTACAACGTCACAAACTCACAAACTTTACCTCTTTATAATATTAGTAAATCCATAAATAATATTATACAATCGTATATATATTTATTTAAACAATGTAACATATAATTCTGAATCGAATCTGTACTTAATTTTTTTTTTTTGGAAAATCTGATTGAAATAGTCATTATTATCGATACAGAGGCCGAATCTATAGTTTTTAGAATTTTTATCTGCTGCACGCTTAAGCCACTGGACAGATTTTGATGTTTGCTATGAGATAGCTGGTTATCTGGGTCAACATATACAATACTTTTTAGTGCGGGAAAATATTTCATCTCTGAGAAATCTATCCTACGTTAAAACATAAGTAGGGACGAACCCGAGCGGAGTTAGGGTGAGTCGCTATATAAATTTCATTCAGTGATCGAAATTCGACCATAATCATTATATTTAAAAAAAGGCTAAATTTCCTACACTTTTTATTAATAACACTCAGGCTTGTCAATAGCTACAAACAAAAAAAGAAAATCGTTTGACAAACAGACGAGAAAAAGATACTAAGCTGTTTTGGCTTTGCCTATTTATATATATACTAGCGACGCACCCTCGTTTGCTTCCCCATACAAACTTTCAACCCCATTCTCACCCCTTAAGGGATGATTTCCGGGATAAAAACTATTTCACTCGCTCACTTTTCATAACATGAGATTTAAAAAAAACCTTATTATAGTAAAAAAAAAAATTCTTTTAATTCAATCTTTCTTCTATATCAATCTTCCTGACAATAACAAACACAAAAAAATATATATGCTATATTTAATTATAAATTATAGTACTTATTAAAAAAAAATAAACATTTAGAAATAAAAATCAACAAATATTGTCTGCTGTCAGCTGTCTAGCCTTTTGTTTTTTTTATTATATTTTATTATATATAATATATATGTATATACATATAGGTATGTGTATCTGTGTAAGTATATGTAGGTATCTATTAGTATAAACATATATACTTATGCATTTTTCTAGTCAACTTTTTTATATATTGTGATATATTTACTCTATTATTTACACCCTTTCCCTCTTGCAGTTTGCTATCTCCTAAACCTAAAGGTTGCCTGGAAGAGATCGCTGTTTTAGCGGTAAGGCCGCCTCTCGTATATTTCTATTTTGTGTTTATTTATTTTTCTTTTATTCTTGGTGTACAATAAAGAGTTTATTATTATTACTATTGTAAGCTACTTTATTTTCATTTTTGAATTTTTGAAATCATTTTTGTAAAATAGTTGGTAGGAACTGTCTGTAACAACTAAGTCTTTGAGACGTCTATAACCTAAGCCTCTCCCGTGACCATGATTGCTGTAAAGCATTTGAAACGTCGGGAACCAAAAATCAAAATCCGCGAAATAATCCGAAAAGATGGTTTTATTTAAAAAACAAAAAAAAATAACCAATTTGGCGCAGTCGATCTGAAGTGATGCGCGTACATACATACATTTTGATGATTCATTTTTATGTATATAAGATATTGCATAGTATTATTAGTATTCTAGGGCTTAAAACTACAGGTAAACCCAAAGGATAAAACTAGATAGATATAACAAAACCATCTTAGTTAAGGCCGGCTTGATGCAATGTTTCCTAACATTGCGCTCATTGCGCAGTCCTATTGCAACGGTCATACAGCACTTAGTGTTCATTTCCTTCAGCTCTCGGTGCGACGTGTATAGTTTTTCCAGTTAAATTTAACCAGTAAGTTAATTTTAACTACATTTTTTAACTATATTATTTATATTTAAAAGCAGTTTAAGAAATGTTGACGATCCAAGCACAAAGATCGTAGATGTATTTTCTAATATGTTCAAGATATCCTTTATTTTTTTCTGTTTTTTTTTATGTGTGGAAAATATCTATTTTTATTTATAGTTTTATTAAAAAGGATGTAGCCAATGTTTTCTACCGATTAATTTCTTTTCATTTTTAAATCAATTTCTAATCCAACGTTAACCTAAAAACAATACATTTTCTTTTGTTTCGAGAAAATTCCTACAGTTAACTTATAAAGTATCATTATTATTTTATGTAATGGAAATAATTTATATATAATATTAAGGAAAATTTGAAAAAACATTTATAAAATTTTATAAATTATGATTTTTCTTATTTCCTGCTGTATTTATAAGCCAACATTTCAGAGGATGTTGGGATCAGTTTTTGTTAATTAATAACTACATACGCAACGTTTTACAATTTCTAATTGTTTCTACAGGCGATCTATATATATAACAATTTCAATTACGAAGATAAACAATATAAATAAAAAATACGTAATAGACTAAGATTTTAGTCTCTCGTGATCATGATTGCTGTAAAGCATTCAAAACGTCGTTAACCAAAAATCAAAATAAGTCCGCGAAATGATCCGAAAAGATAGCTTTATTTAAAACTAGCATTTCCCGCGACTCCGCCGACGACCAAATTCTTAGGTTTTACATATTTGTATACTCTTACATTGTAGTTTTTGTATTTTTTGTCAGAAATGAGACATTCGCCCGCGGTAAAAAGTATCCTATAAGTTGACGCGGATAACCAGCTATCACCATACCAAATTTCATCAAAATTCCTCCTGTGGTTTTTCTGTGATGCGGTAACAGACAAACAGACAAAAATTCTAAAAACTATAGATTCGGCCTCTGTATCGATAATAATGTTTATTTCTATAAGATTTTCCAAAAGATATTTAAATATTTAATGTACAGATTCGACTTAGTTACAATTTTAATATATATATATATATATATATATATATATATATATATATATATATATATATATATATATATATATATACACACGAATATGTTATTAGATTTACGCGAATATTTGGCATCTATATCATATTTGGACATATACTATATACCATAATGAATGTTTTTAGGTCCGTCCATCAGTTTATATTGTCTTACCAGATTGCAGATTATTTATTTAAAATTACTACTCTACTTTGAAACGCCTTAATATGAGTAATGTAATTTTTTTTCGTCAATTTTATATTCAAAAACATCTTATATTAACAGAGATAGATTATAGTTTGGAATAACACATAGGCTACTTTTTATCCCGGAAAAATGTACGGTTCCCGTGGGATAGATTTGTTTTTGTTTTTCTAGAGGCGAACGCGAGCGAAGCGAGGTTGAGCTGCTTGTTTATGAAACGAAAAAGTAACTTATATATTATAACAATTTATTAACTATATATTTCAACAGTTATTTTATTCGAAGTAACGTTTTGTCTTAAATTGTCCTTCGTTGGACGTGCCCTATGCCTCTGCCAATCCTGTAGGGTAGTAAATGTGTTCAAATTTAACTTACGTATTACCAACGTGTATGTAACCATCTACCAGATGATTAGAAATATATATTAGGTAGGATATAGGTAGTGTAGCATTTTAAGTAGGAACTCAATTCATATCACGTACATAATGATAAGTATGAAGGCTATATATTTTTGAGTCATCTAAATAAAATATATATATATATATATATATATATATATATATATATATATATATATATATATATATATACTAGTAACATACCCTCACTTCGCTCTGATACGTATCTAGAGAAGAATACTTTGTTCTCAGCTTCTTTTCTGTATTAGTTATTAGTGGAACTTGATTGGTCATAAACCAGTCTGTGTTGTCTTGTTTTTATTTACTACTAGACTTACCAAGGCTTTGTTCGGGTGCGTTCCTAAGTGTTGTATGGATTAGGAACGCATTTTATCTTTTGATAAATAACCAAAGATTTTTTTTCAAAAATTCTTTTTTTGCGCCAGAAACCTTTGCAAGCGTATACAGAATAATCCATCAGAGTATCGTCACAATCGGATCAATAGTTTAATAATATATAGAGGACAAACATACGAACATTCGATTTTTTTATATATTTATTTATGTAATATTTGTTTTCACAGCTTGTTTTCCGAATAAAGAAAATCCCTTTTATTTGATCCCAAATTCTTTGCTAATGTAGAAAATCTCACCAAAGTTTCATCACAAACGGATGAATGGCTAAAGCGCATAGAGTGTCCTCTGTCCCTGATATATACAAAAAACATTCATTTTTGTGTATATACAGTTTTAGTCATATGTATACATATATATTAATTACATATCCTGACTAAGAAAAAGTAGCTATATGATCTAAATAGTTGAAATTCTAGAATTAGAATAAAATAATCCTTTTGATAACACATTACTTACACATAACATTAATTTTATAAATTATGATTTTTCTTATTTCCTGCCGTATTCATAAGCCAACATTTCAGAGGATGTTGGGATCAGTTTTTGTTAATTAATAACTACATACGCAACGTTTTACAATTTCTAATTGTTTCTACAGGCGATCTATATATAAAAATTTCAATTACGAAGATAAACAACATAAATAAAAATTTACGTAATAGACTAAGGTTTTAGTCTCTCGTGATCATGATTGCTGTAAAGCATTCGAAACGTCGGTAACCAAAAATCAAAATAAATCCGCGAAATGATCCGAAAAGATAGTTTTATTTAAAACTAGCATTTCCTGCGACTCCGCCGACGACAAAATTCTTAGGTTTTACATGTTAGTATACTCTTACATTGCAGTTTTTGTATTTTTTCTCAGAAATGAGACATTCGCCCGCGGTAAAAAGTATCCTATATGTTGATGCGGATAACCAGCTCTCACCATACCAAATTTCATCAAAATTCCTCCTGTGGTTTTTCTGTGATGCGGTAACAGGCAGACAGACAAAAATTCTAAAAACTATAGATTCGGCCTCTGTATCGATAATAATGTTTATTTCTATAAGATTTTCCAAAAGATATTTAAAAATATTTAATGTACAGATTCGACTTAGTTACAATTTTAATATATATATATATATATATATATATATATATATATATATATATATATATATATATATATATATATATATATATATACACACGAATATGTTATTAGATTTACGCGAATATTTGGCATCTATATCATATTTGGACATATACTATATACCATAATGAATGTTTTTAGGTCTGTCCATCAGTTTATATTGTCTTACCAGATTGCAGATTATTTATTTAAAATTACTACTCTACTTTAAAACGCCTTAATATGAGTAATGTAATTTTTTTTTCGTCAATTTTATATTCAAAAACATCTTATATTAATAGAGATAGATTATAGTTTGGAATAACACATAGGCTACTTTTTATCCCGGAAAAATGTACGGTTCCCGTGGGATAGATTTGTTTTTGTTTTTCTAGAGGCGAACGCGAGCGAAGCGAGGTTGAGCTGCTTGTTTATGAAACGAAAAAGTAACTTATATATTATAACAATTTATTAACTATATATTTCAACAGTTGTTTTATTCGAAGTAACGTTTTGTCTTAAATTGTCCTTCGTTGGACGTGAATCACATGTTAATAGTGCGTTTGCGTGTTCGTAAGAACAATACCTACGTTACAAAATTTGCTAAATTTGGTAAAATGTAATATAAAATATTTTAAGAGAATGAAAAAAATATAGATTTTATTTTATTACTAGCATTGCCCGCGGCTCCGCCCGGTTAGATGACCAAAAACCAAATTCTTAGATTTACACATGAGTATACTCTTAAATTGCAGTTTTTGTATTTTTTCTCAGAAATGAGACATTTTCTCGCGGTTATAAGTATTTTATATGTTGACCCGGATAACCAGCTACTATCATACCAAATTTCATCAAAATCCCTCCAGTGGTTTTTCCGTGATGCGGTAACAGACAGACAGACAGACAAACTTCCAAAAATTATAGATTCGGCCTCTGTATCGATAATAATGTCTATTTCAATAAGATTTTCCACAAAACATTTAATGTACAGATTCGGCTTAGTTACAATTTTATTATATGTATAGATTATTATTTTTACTCATCTACACACAACACATCTACAGTAATCATGGCCACGGGAGAGACTATGGTTCTAGACGTCTCAAAGGTCAATACATAGAGAAATAGATAAGCACCAGATTGGAAATTTCGTCTACAACAGCTAAATTCATATCGTAGTTTTTTGCACGCCAGCGCCATCTATTTTCAGCATACAGCTGTACACTTTTTCAACTTATCTCCCATATAAGTGGATCCTCCTTGCTGGGTAGAGCCCTATGCCTCTGCCAATCCTGTAGGGTAGTAAATGTGTTCAAATTTAACTTACATATTACCAACGTGTATGTAACCATCTACCAGATGATTAGAAATATATATTAGGTAGGATATAGGTAGTGTAGCATTTTAAGTAGGAACTCAATTCATATCACGTACATAATGATCAGTATGAAGGCTATATATTTTTGAGTCATCTAAATAAAATATATATATATATATATATATATACTAGTAACATACCCTCACTTCGCTCTGATATGTATCTAGAGAAGAATACTTTGTTCTCAGCTTCTTTTCTGTATTAGTTATTAGTGGAACTTGATTGGTCATAAGCCAATCTGTGTCGTCTTGTTTTTATTTACTACTAGACTTACCCAGGGTTTGTTCGGGTGCGTTCCTAAGTTTGTATGGATTAGGAACGCATAAAAGATAAATAACCAAAAATATTCTTTTTTTTTTCGCCAGAAACCTTTGCAAGCGTATACAGAATATTCCATCAGAGTATCGTCACAATCGGATCAATAGTTTAATAATATATAGAGGACAAAC